TTACAAATTTTTTTAAAATTACATTATTCTGAGAAGGGGTCCATAGTCTTTACCAAAATGCCAAAGAGGTCCATGAAACAACAAAGTTAAGAGTCCCTGGTGTAAAGTAACCCCCGAAAACCAATGGGAAACATTGTCTGAGAAGGTGAAGTTTAAAGCCATTAAGGTATCACCTGTTTGAAGAAGTAACCAATGATCTCTCAAGGGTCAAAGCTAATGATATATTTTTTCAACCTTCATCCTTCATCAGAGAGGTCACTTACTCCCTGAAACCTATGACCCTGCTGATCACCTTCTCCTCCTTGGTTACCCTCTCCTTCTTAGGCTCTCATGACTGCTCTTTCTGGTTTTCTTCCTCCCTGTTGGAGAATGCTTTAATCTTCTTTGTTGAATCTTCAACCATGGCATGCCCACTAAGCCTGGGTATCCCCTAAGGCTTTGTCCTGGGCCTTCTTTTCTTCTCCCTCTATATTATTTTACTTGGTAATCTCAAACTCTGCAGGGGTTTGGTTCGATTATCACCTCAATGCCAAAGATTCCCAGGTCTATATTTCCAGCCCTGACCTCCAGTCTTAAATCACCAAGTACCCATTGAACACCTTGAACTGGCCATATCCCATAAGCAGCTCAAACTCAGTATGTCTACAATGGAATTTGTTATCTTTTCCCTAAAACCTTTTCTTTTTCATAACTCCCCTATTATATCAAGAGCATTATCATCTTCCCAGTCATCCAGACTCATCTTCAGTATCATCCTCAAGAGTCTCAAAATCAATCCATATTTCCAATCTGTTTTCAAGTCTTTTCCTTTTTCACTTCATGACATCTCAAGTATGCATCCCCTTCTCTCCACTCACACAACCACCATCTTGGTCAAGGCCCTAGTCACTTCATGTCTGAAATACTGTAATAGCCTTTTACTTGGATTCCTTACTTCATCTCTCATTCCTTCATTCCATTCTCCACAAAGCTGCTGAAGTAATTTTCCTAATGTATAGGTCTGATTGTGTCACCCCCCACCCCAATACACACACACACAGACACACACACCAATTCAAAAAACTCCAGTAGTTTCCTATTACCTCTAGCATCAGAGACTGCAACTCCAGTGTCCATGTTGTGTGCCAAATATATGTTTGCCTAAAAGACTATTTCATGGAGAACTCACACAAGGCAGGTGCTCACATGGTGATCACAAGAAGCAATACAAGCACACTCTCAAGGACTCTTTGGAGAACTTTGGAATTGATTCCTTGACATGGAAGACACTGGCAAAGGACTGCCCGGCATGGCTTGCCTCCATCAAAGTAGATGCAGTGCTCTCTGAGTAAAGCAGAATTGAAGTGGGTCAAAGGAACAGTGAGATGTGCAAATTTAGAGACCTCTCCACCAAAGGTTCATATGGACTATCAGTGTCCGACCTGTGATAAAGGCTCTGAGCTTGTATCAATCTCATTAGCCACAGTCAGACACACTGTATCTTGACTCCAACATATGATGTCATTTTGGTCCTCTTCAAGAACAAAGGACAGCAACCAACCAGTCTCTCAAAATCCGTCTGAGTTCATGTTCATTGTTTCCACAACACTCTCTATCCGTTTCATCCTCTGCCATTCCCCTTTCCTTTTGCCTTCAATCTTTCCCAACATCAGGGTCTTTTCCAGTGAGTCCCATCTTTTCATTATGTGGCCAAAGTATTTCAACTTCAGCTTCAGTATTTGACCTTCCAGGGAACAGCCTGAATTAATTTCTCTAAGTATTGACTGATTGGATCTCCTTGCTGTCCAAGGGACTCTCAAAAGAATTTTCCAGTACCTCAATTTGAAAGGGTCAATTCTGCAGCATTCAGCTTTCCTTATAGTCCAACTCTCAGCATTGCTACTGGAAAAACTATAGCTTTGACTACACGGACCTTGGTCAGTAAGGTAATGGCTCTCCTTTTTAGTATGCAGTTCAGATCTGCCATAGTTCTCATTACAAGGAGCAAATGTCTTTTAATTTCATGGCTGCAGTCACCATTTACAGTGATCTTTGAGCCCAAGAATACAAAATCTGACACTGCTTCCATTTCTTTCCCCTCTATTTGCCAGGGAGGATCTACCAAGCTACATCAGAATTGTTCTACAACTGTTCTGCAATTACAGATGAAGGGACCCTAGGCACCATCAAGTTCTGTTCTCAAAGTGTGTTCCAGGAACCCCTAGAGGGGAATCTCCTAAGACCGTTTCAGTCAGTCAATGAGGTTAAAACGATTTTCTTCATAATGCTAATAATCCTTATAGAAGATAACCTTATATAATTGTCTGGAGCACTGAGAGTTTTAGTGACTTGTCTAGGGGTCACAAAGACAGAGGCAGAAGATATATAGATATCAATAATGAACAGATAAACACAGATAAATATAGATATATGTGTATACATATATGTATGTGTATGTATTTATATTCACAGAGAGAAAGAGAGAGAGAGAGAGAGACAGAGAGAGAGAGACCACTCTCTCCAGGGGACTCTGGATACATATACACACACACAATACATATATTCATGCACATGCACACACCTATATTATATACGTATGTGTTACATCACATACATGTGGATGTATTATATGTGCATGCAAACAATATACATACATGTATATACATTGTGCATGTATGTTCATATAAAACATATAACCTATATCACACATACACATAAACGTTCTAACAAAAAAAAATTCTTTATTAAGAAACCCATACAGACAGCATAATATGGTAGAAAGAACACTAGACCAATTACTGTAAAATAACAGGATTATACTGGATCAGTGGTTCTCAAAGTTTTTGGTCTCAGGTACCCTTTACATTCTTAAAATTTATTGAGGACTCCCTCCCAAAGAGTTTTTGTTTATATGGGTTGTATTTATTTATATTTGCCACATTAGAAATTAAATTGGATTAGCATTATTATGAAAATAGTTTTAACCTCATTGACTCCTCCTGGGGGTTCCTGGACCATACTTTGAGAACAGAACTAGATGATCTCCAGAGTTCCTTCATCTCTAAAAATTCCATGACCATCTAATTATGAACACATCGAAATTATGACATCGAACCAACGTGGACAGTCAAACTAGGTGTACAGGCATGGGTAAACGAAGGAGCTAGAAGTACCAGCCGTGTTACTGTTCACTCTTAGAATTTGCAGCTTCACTGAAGAGAGTTCATGGTGAGGACTACTCACCTCTGGCATTTGTTTTTCCTCTTTGTCCAGTGCATGCCAAGTTTGCTGGCCTTTAAGAAGTTCAGTCTTTAATATAGACCTCCTGGTGGTGATGGGTCAGAATGACCTGGGTTGAGGTGACATAGTATGTAAAGTAACTAAGTGTGTGTGGGGGCTTTGTGTCTGTGTCCTAAGGCTCCCCTGTGGCTGTCTTTTACAAATCAAGGCAAATCCTTAGATGGGGTCATTTGTAGTGGGAAAGTTTACTCTTCTCAGGTTAAGTTGGACGGAGGCATTCTGACATGGTAAGAATTTTCAGATGATCCCTTAAGATAGGAATACAATATAGGATTATGCTAACAGAATCAGAGAATAGGGTACCTCAATTATGCTATGGGAGGGGTGGAGGAAGGAAGTAAAGGTCTGTTGAGCTTCTGTGACTGTTGATATGGAACAAATAGCTACCAGCAACCTTTAGAGATACATTTTTCTTTTTTCTTTCTTTCTTTCTTTTTTTTTTTTCTTACTCTTGTGTTACATTCAACACTTAAGAATGGGATAAAGAAATGTTCCAGTCCTTGGACAGGGACATTTAGGAATATTGAGGCGGGGGTGTGACCAGAAACTTAAGTTTAAGTTTTGCTGGAGAGGCAGCTAGGTGGCACAGTGGATAGAGCACCAGCCCTGGAATCAGGGGAACCTGAGTTCAAATCTGGCCTCAGACACATAATAGTTCCTAGCTTTGTAACTCTGGGCAAGTCACTTAACCCCAATTGCCTCACCCCCCAAAAAAAATAATAAGTCAGTTTTGCTGGATTGTAATTTTGTAATAAAGGGTTTCTGCATGTCTTTTCTCTTGTGTGTGTCTGGAGGCAGTGTGAGTGGAAGGAAAAATGAATGATTAATTAAAGCACAATTTTTAAAATTATAAATGTTTAAAAAATACCATATATATGTATATATATATATATATATGTGTGTGTGTATACACATGCACACACACACACACACACACACACACACACACACACACACACACACATATATTTATCCTAGAAGCAAGAAAAGAGCCACTAGAGCTTCTTGATAATGGAATAATGGCATGGTCCCAGCTGTACTTTATAAATAAATGCCAGTTTGGTAGGTATATGGAGGGTGGACATGACAGTATAGGGACTGCAGATAGTGAGATAAGTTAGGGGACTATTGCAGTAGTCCTAGTGAAAGGTTATGAGGATCAACATCCCCAACAGATGCTTAACCAAATTCTCTGTAGACATTTCCACTGGCAAGTAGCCTCTTCCAACCCAACTCTATTTAAAAAAAAATAGCACTTGTTTCATTAGAGAGAGGAAGGAGGAGAAGGAGGAGGAAGGGGAGGAGGAATAGGACCAGATCTGTGACTTTATGGGTGTAGGGAGGTCCTGGGGAGGAACTTCCTTTGCCTATGCAGAGTAATTTATAGTCTTAGAGTTCTGCCTAGAACACTGAAAGTTTGAGTGACATGTACAGGGTCACACAGCCAGTATGTATCAGAGGTGAAACTTGAATGCAGCTCTTCCTCGACTCTGAGGTTCTCTCTCTATTCTCCATGCCACACTGTCTCTCTCAATTGCCATTGTCACCAAGCATCACCATTGTCTCATCATCATCATCTCTTCCACATGACCACCCTTTAAATATTTAGAGAAGGTTTCATATTCGTCTCTTCTCTAGGCTAATTATTTCTAATTCCTTCAGCTATTTCTCATAACCTCCTCAACTTCCTCTTCCTCCTTCTCATATGTTTTAGCAGAATCAGTGTCTACAGCTTGTGATCAATATCGGATGGAACAGTGAGTAAGGTGTAGCAACAATTTTTGTAGCAGGAGATCCAATTCTGAGTCCTAGGCATAAGACCTTGGCTCAACTTTCATCAGTTTGTAGGTCTCTTCCTGGAATGCAGACGCTGATGGGAAGAAGCGCTGAGGGAGTTCTTTAAAGATGAATGTCCTCTAGTATGAATTGGTAAGACTTTTATCTTGTTGAAGTTTTATTTTTTGTCCTTCAGATTCAACTGTAATTGCCCCAGATCAAGTATATAATTCCTCTTCTGGAGAATTTTTAAGAGTTAGGGGGTACTGGAGTGGGTACCTACTCTACCATCTTGTTGAGCTCATCTTATAATTGATTTGTTTTTACCTAAATGCAGGAATTTACATTTATCCCTGCTGAATTCCATTTGTGATTTGAACCTATCTTATAAAATCCTGCTTCTGTCATCTGGGGCTTTTTCCTCTTCTTACTGACTGTTTCATTTGTCTGTGCATTCCTAGTGTCTAACATAGTGCCTGGCATTTAATAAATAGTTAGGCACTTAATAAATTCTTATCGATTGATTGACCTGCAGATTTGATAAGCATGCCATCTCTGTCAATATTCAAGTTGCTAATCCAAGTTGCTAACACCTTTCCTAGGGAAAAGATGAGTTACTAGGAGAAATAAAAGCTTTTGTATTTGAACACTTAAAAATCCTGAATAACCTCTTTGAAAAGTCTACAAAAGACTCTCTCTCCCCACCTCAAGAAATAGGAGATATAAGTAACAATTTTATTACCTCTTTCCATGTATGTGCTATAAATATAATCTTTCCTGGAAGCTTCTTTCATCCCCTTCTCCTAATTTCCGGTTTTCTTTGAGCACTCCCTAAAATGCTATTTCTGTGGAAGAAACATGGTACATAAGAAGGCTGGGACATTTGTATTTGTGTATGTTTTTTAATGTGCTTGATCTTGTTCTGAGAATAATTGTCTGGATGATTTTTTAAAAGATTAATTAATTAATATTACTTAGGCATGGTTGTTAACCCAGCTATAAATCCACTTAATTGTAGTAACATCTGTCCACAACGATAGATGCTCAGAATTTTCTTCAGATGCCTTGCTGAAATCAAGATATAGTGGGAAAAGCACAGGACTTTCTGACTTTTGAGTCAGAATAACTCAATTTAAATTCTAGCTTTGAACTTGAGCAAATTACTTCATTTTTCTGCACTTCAGTTTCTGTATCTGTAAAAAGAGAGATTTGGATCAGACAGCCTCTTGATTCTGTAATATGTTCCATAATTTTGTCAGGAACCAAAATCAGGTTTCTATCATTTCTAAAATCCATCTTTTGGAAATTAGGACATTTTCCCACTTCCAGTGTTCTGATGCCTCTACTAGTCTCCATGATTTCTGCCAAATACTATATTAGTGGCTCTACTATCACTTCCACAAGTTCTTTCAACACTTAGGGATTTAAATATAGAGATATTTCAATGACCTATAATTTTGTTGAGGTAGGTGCTTCTTCCGCCTATGCAGATTTCAACCTCTATATATACTGATTGCTCTACTTCTGTTCCTTGGCCACCTCCCTCTACTACTCTCCCCTCTCCATGGTTTTCAAGATTCCCTGGGGGGAAGGGAGCCCAGCTGGCAGGCAAAGTTCCCTTCCCCCAATTTTATTCAGGGACATTACTCTTAACATTCTATCACTATGCCTTCCCTCTCAAGGTTTATTCATCACGGGTCAAGTAGATAGAAAGTTGAGGTCTTTCCCACACAGGTAAGGACTCTTACATTGTGATTTAATGTTTCAGTAATAGAAGAAACTTTGAATAGCTCTATCAAAACAAGACAAAGGTCTCACTTGACTTATCACAGCACCTGCCGCTTCAATTGTTTGGGAGGCCAAGCAAAGTTAATCAATACCTAGGGCATTTGAATCAATCTTTGCTAAATCAATCTGTGCTGATATTCATGTTACACAGTCTAATAGAACGAGTACTGAGTTGGAATGGAAACCATTTCCAGCTAACTGTGAGGTTTTAGACAAATCACCTAATCTCTTAATTCTTTGGTGTCCTATCTGTGAATTGGGGAATAATAACGCCTGCTCTGTAGAAGTAAAAGCATTTTGAATTATTGGAAGGCAAATGTCCAACCAATACAAAAAGCAGAGTCAAAATCCTTTGCCTTAAGTACTACTACTAGAACAGAAGATCTTCTTCTACCACCAATATGGCCAGACCTTCTCCAGTGTTGCTTCAGGTCCCTATCATTCTTTAAATTTTAATTATAGGCCTTAAGGCTCTTAGCAGCAGGCCCCTCCAAGACTTATTAACTTTCCTTCCTTTATGTTTCCCAGGCTCTACTGAGAACAGTCCAGGGTTTTGCTTTGTCCAGTGATTTTGTCAGCATGGTTTAACATTTCCCTGAATCCCATTCCACTAATGACAGTTCAATGTAATACAAAAAGGGACAAATAATCCACACTATACCTCACACATCTATTTACTGTCCATGACCAACAAACCCTCTCTTTACTTTGATAGGCATTTATGCCTTCATCTTAGGATTTACTCTTGTGATAGATATGTATATAACCTTCCAGTTTCACCCAAGAGTGTCAATATGCTGGCTCACTTATCCTTGATTAGATTATGGGTTATCCAGGACAGAACTCTTCTTAAGTGTGTGCAAAGCTTTGCACATTGATGTTGATAGGCCTTTTAAGGTTTACAAATCATTTTTCTGAGGGTTATTCATAAATGTATCATCATCCTCATCTTACATATGAGGAAACTAACATTCAGGGATGAGTGATGTAAGCTCCCCTAGGACAGGGACTGTTTAATTTTTGTATTTGTATATCTCCAATGCCAAGCATAGTGCCTGGCATGTAGAATACACTTAATAAATGGTTATTGATTAATATTCCACTCAGTACAGACTTAATACATTTTTTTTTCAAAATAATGATGGTGGCTTTTGCCATTTGGGTGAAGGAACAGGAGAAAGGGGAGAGAAGTGAAGGGTAAGTCGTAATGATATAGTGAATGTTTTGAGGAAATATTTAATAAGTAATACTGGAAAGACAGGTGGATAGAAACAGCCTATCTTATTAGCAACCAACTCTGACTAACTGATAAGAGATTTGATTGATAAATGTTGATCCTATCCCAGAAATAATGGGGCAGTGAAATCAGATGTTGGCCCACAGAAATAACTGATTCGCCGCAGAGCCAAGGGAAAATCAGAAGTAGGAATGTTGGGCCATGCTGATTGGCATGCAAACACTGAAGGCTGAAGTTGGTCCTTAGGTTAAATTGTTTTTTATACTCCTCTAGGTATTGGAAGGTATATGTTACTGTTTATAGCAAATTTCTGTTGGATTATTTTATCCAGATTTATTTATTATTATTTAATGATCAATGTGTCATACAATCAGTTGTGATCCAACAGCTTTTAATGTCTCATTAATTGCAAATGCATATTAGTAATTTTATAAGTCAATTTATTGAACAGGAAAGATAGGTGTTGATTCCTAAATATCCCCATTGATGCCCAGTGAGTACAGACCCTAGACAGTGAGTCAATCAGTCAATGGACAAACTTTATTAAGTGTCTATTCTGTGTCACAGTACTCCATACCCTGTCTTAGGCATCAAGGATATAAACAAAAAATCAAGACAGTCCCTTCCCTCAGAGAGTTTACGGAGGGGAAGGGAGGAGGGGAGGAGACATAGTATACTTGCACAGCAGTAAATACAGCATATACAGCAGCTAGGTGGCACGGTAGATAGAGTGCCAGGCCTGGAATCAGGAAGACTCATCATCCTGAGTTCAAATCCAGCCCCAGACATTTATTAACTTTGTGACCTTGGGCAAGTCACTTAGCCCTGTTTGCCTCAGTTCCCTCATCTGTAAAATGAGCTGGAGAAGGAAATGGCGAACCACTCCAGTATCTCTGCCAAGAAAGCCCAAATGGGATCAGGAAGAATAGGACACAACCGAAAATGACTGAACAGCACAAATACAGCATATACACAAAACAAATACAAAATGATGGGGGTGGGGCACTAAGAAGTAGGGAATCAGAGAAGGCTTCTCAAAGAAGGTGACATTTGAAGGGAACTAGGAAGTTCAAGAGGCCAAGAATAAGAGGCAACGCATTCCAACCTAGGCAAAACTTTGAAAACAGGACACGAAATATTGCGTACAGGGAAGAGTGAGTAGGCCAGTTTGGTTGAAATATAGCACGTGTGAGGGGGAGTAATGTGGCATCAGTCTGTAAAGATAGGTTGGAGGCAGATTGTGCAGGATTTTAAATGCCAACCAAGTTTATGTTTTATCCTACAAGCAATAAAGAACCAGAGGAGCTTCTTGAGCAAGGGTGTGACCTGGTCACACCTGTGCTTTAGGAATATCACTTTGGCAGCTGTGCAGAAGAAGAACTGAAGAGAGAAGAGGGTGGCTGCAGGGAGGCCAATTAGGAGGCTGTTTGCAGTAGTGAGGTGATCGGGGAGGAAGGTCTGGAATGGCTTGGTTGTGATTTGATCAGTGAAAAGGGGATAAATAAGGCAGCTAGGTGGCACAGTGGATAGAGTGCTAGGCTTGGAATCAGGATGACTCATCTTCATGAATTCAAATCCAGCCTCAGACACTAGCTGTGTGACCCTGGGTAAGTCACTTTACCCTGTTTGCCTCAGTTTCCTCATCTGTAAAATGAGCTGAAGATGGAAATGGCAAACTACTCCGGTATCTTGGCCAAGAAAACCCCAAAAAGGGTCACAAAGAGCTGGACCCAACTGAAATGACTGAACAACAACAAAACACAGCATAGTGGAAAAAACTCTGGCACTGGGGTGTGAGGACATAGATTAAAATCCTGCTTCTGATGCTTACTCAGTCAAACCCCCCCCCCATATTTATTAAGCACCTACTATGTGCCAGGAACTGTGTTAAATACTGGGATACAGAGAAAGGTAAAAGACAGTTGATGCTCTCAAGGAGCTAATGATATAATGGGACAGACAACATGCAAACTACTATGTACAAATAAGCTATATGCAGAATACATTGGAAATAATCAAGGGAGGGGAGGCACTAGAATTAAGGGGGATTAGAAAAGGCTTCCTGTGTAAAGTGGAATTGAAGCTGGGACTTGAAGGAAGCCAGGAGGCAGAAATGAGGAAGGAGAATATTCCAAGTATGGGGGACAGCCAATGAAAAAGTCAGAATATGGAGCATCTTGTTTGAGGAACAGCCAGGAGGCCAGTGTCCCTGGATAAAAGAGCACACGTCATTTTGGGAGAAAGACTTAAGCAGAGTAGAAAGGGCAGGGGGAGGTGCAAGTTATGAAAGACTTTGAACACCAGAGGACTCAATATTTGATCCCAGAGGTAATAGGGAGTCATTGGAGTTTACTGAGGGAGGGTATGTGTGTGTGTGTGTGTGTGTGTGTGTGTGTGTGTGTGTGTGTGTGTGTGTGTGTGTGTGAGAGAGAGAGAGAGAGAGAGAGAGAGAGAGAGAGAGAGAGAGAGAGAGATGGTCACACCTACTCTTTAGGAAGGTCACTACCTAGGTGACTTCAGGTAAGTCACATTCCTTAACTATAAAATGATGGAGTTGGATGAGATGATCTTGAAGATCCCTTCCAGCTTTAGAGCTAAGCCCCATTAATTATACTGTGAGCTCCTTAGCAGTAGAGTAGGAACTGGTTTGTACAGGTATTTGTGTGTATGTGTGTGTGTTTGTTTTGCCTTTGTTTTAATCTCTTTTGCTTAGCAAAGTGCCTAGCACTTTGTAGTAGGTGCTTAATATATGCTTATTGACTTGACTTACCTTTATCTGTCATTCTTCTATCCTTGGGAGCCACTGAAGTTTAATGAAATGGTCAGACTTATGTTTTAGGACTATAAACTTGATAGCTGTATGGAAAATGGACTGGAGAAGGGAAAGACTTGAGGTAGGGCTATTGAATAGACCAGGTGAGAGGAAATAAAGAACCAAACTAGGGGTTGTATGAGTAGAGAGAAAGGGAGCAAATTCAACAGATGCTGTAAAATCAACAAGATTTGACAACCAGTGGGATATGTGGGGTGAATGAGAGCGGAGAATTACTGATAACTGTAAGATTGAGAATCTAGGTGATTAAAAGGATGGTGATACCCTTCAAAGAAGGAAAGGGTTAAAGGGGAGAAATAAGTTCCATTTTGGACACATTGAATTTGAGGTGCCCATAGGAGATCTAGTTTAAAAAATCAAATAGTCTATCAATAATATGGGACTAGACCTTAGAAGAGAGACTAGGGTTAGATATTTAGTTCTGAAGGTCACCTGCACAGAGGCAATTATTAAACTCGTGAGAGCTACTGAGGTCGCCAAGAGAGAAACAAAAGGTAGAGAGAACAGAAAAGAGGGCCCAGAAAAGGGCTTTGGAACATATTCACAAACTGGAAGGTGTGATATAAATGATAATCCAACCAAAGAGACTGAGAAGGAAGTCGGACAGATAAGAGAACCAAGCTCTCTTAGTGAAAGATATAAGCAGAGTACCAAAAATCCAGAGAAGAGAGAGCACCTGGGAAGAGATGGTAGTCAATAACGTCAAATGTTGCAGAGAGGTAAAGAACGATGAGGAGTGAGAAAAAGCCACTGGATTTAGAAATAAAAAGTGTTGCTGGGCTTAGAGAGAGCAGTTTCAATGGAATAGTAGGATGGAAGCTAGATTGCAAAGTGTTGGGAAGTGGAAGATAAAGTGGAAGCAACTAGTATACACAACTTTTCTCTATGAGTTTGGATATTAAAGAGAAGAGATATACAATGATAGTTTGAGAGGGTTAAGTAAGGGTTATTTTAAGGATGGGGAGTTTTTAGGAATGTTTGAAGGCCACAGGGAGGCAGCCAGTGAATAAGGAGACCTAGGAACACTAGGGAGACCTAGGGAATATTTAAAGGTTCAAACTCCAGAAGAAACAGAAAGGGATGGGTTCAAGGGCACAAGCAGAGATTTTAGGAGAAGGTAAGGGTACTGTCTACACTGTCTAATTTATCTTTATAGTCCTCCCTACCCCCCAGCAAGCAATTTATCCCCATTGATATTTTTTTCTCAGTTACATGTTAGTATTTTTACAAAACAGATTACATTGACCAATAGATTTGCTTCTCTGCCAGTCAATGAGCCAATCAATTGAATCCAATTATTTCAGCCAAGTTGACTACTTAAAAAAAATTAATTGGCATCTAATTGGCCACAGGTTGTATATGCAAACCAGGTGGCATTTTATCACCTGGATTATTTCCTTATCTTGAAATCTGCCATGCAGGTTTTTCTTCATCTTTAACTGCCTAAAAATCTCAAAACGTTCAAAACTGAGCATATTACTGTCACCCCCAAACCTACTATCTCTTCTCTCTTTATTTTCTGCTAATGGTACCAGCATTCACCAATCCTCCCATGTTCAAAACCTTGCTGTTATCTTTTACACATCCCTCTTCTCCACTTCCCATAACTAAAGAACCAAGTTCTTTTGATTCCGGTTCAGAAACATCTCTTCTATATTCCCATAACCACCTGAACAACTGTCACAACCTTGGAACAGATTTTCTAACTTCAACCCCAATGATTTGAAATAATCATTCATATGGCTGCTCTACATATATCTAGTCAGGGTGCTTCTCTACCTCCAAACTCTCCGATAGCTCCCTATTGCCTACCAAGTTCAAACTCCTTTGTCTGACCTTTAAGGTCCTCTGCAAAATGTGGCACCATTCTACCCTTCTAGCCTTATCTCATTTTAGTCCTCTCTCCATACTCTACAATCAGACTGGCTTGTTTGCAATCATCTGAATAAACTTTTATGTTCTCCCCCACAATACAGTTACTCACATAATTCCCTGTGCCTGAAAATACCTCTCCTTTCCAACTGCTGGATTATTCTTTTTATCCGGAGAGTGGGAGCTATTGGAAGGGGGAGGTCTGGCCACAGGTTATTCTGACCCCAATTCCCTATCCACTATGATAGATTCTCTGATTCTCTATTTACTATGCCATGCTGCTTCTCTGCTGAATTCTTATCCATCCTTTATAACTTAATTTATATGCCACCTTCCTTCAAGAAGAATTCCTTGATTCTCCAAGTTGGTAATGATTTGACCCTGGCATAATACTTTGTAGCTCTTATACACTTACTATGTGTCATTTTGTAGCAGAGTTATTTGTGTATATGCAGTATCCTTCTACCAGATACTAAACTCCACAAAAGTAAGGAGAGGGTCTTAATTGGGAGTCACAGCTGTTTATTAGAGAAAGGTACTACTCTAAGAGTCAGAGGACCTGAATTCAAATCCCCACCGTGCTCTGTGATCCTGGGCAAGTCACTTTTATCTTTTCAAATCTTAGTTTTATCTGTTAAATAATACTTGCATGACCTACTTCATGGGGCAGTTTAAGAGGTAAGCATTTTGCAGACCTTAAAGTTGTGATTGCCACAGTTCAGCCAGCTAAGACCACATGGGCTAACAACCTTAACCAGTCCCTGCCCTTTGCCTGCTCTTGTAGCAGAGTTGGAAAACGGTCAGCAAATAATCCAAAGACTTCCCTTCGAACAGTGATCTAAAAGGCATTCAAAATTACAAATATTTGAAGAGAAGCGAGTGTTAATCCAAAACGGATGTTTCTTCACCAAAAGTAAATCCAGTTGCTTTTGACAAACTATCTTCACAAACGTAGAAAAGGAGGAACTGCACCACCATGTCAAAAGGACTTTGAAAACCAGCAACGATATGGGTTCACTGCTTTAGGGTTACTGCCTTCTCAGCTGGGGAATTAGCCCCCGCAGTTCTTTCATTTCATGCTCACCTCAAATTCCTGAGGAACAGTTCTGTTTTTGGCTCAAGGCTAAGGAGTCCTTCCTAGCAAGGAGGGGGGGGGGATAGACGGTGGTCAATTTTTTTAAAAAAAGGGACCCAGAGTACAAACATGAATCAAGTATGGAACAGATAGTTTTATTCCCACACAGGAGAAGGCATTCTAAGCAATACAGAATCACACAATGATTATATTCAACTGAGGTTATAAAATTAGGGTTACTAATTAACCATTTTACATTTTCCCTCTACCTACTTCAGCCCAATTCATACTAAGCGGGCTCTTTCCACTGTGCTTCCTCTCTCTCTCTCTCTCCCCTCCCTTCCCTCTATCCCTCTTCCTCTCTCTCTAGAGATAGAGATATGAATACACATGCATGTTTATCTGTCCCTTGGTGACTCTTACCCTTTTGGCTAACCTGTCTGCTGTCTCCCTGCCCTCCCCCACAGTCTCCTTATCACTCTTCTCCCTCTCTCCCTCCCTTCCTCCCTTTTGGCCAGTCTGTCTTTGCTGCTGTTGAAAATGTAATTGCTCTGATAGCTATTACTCTGATATCTGCGTACCTGGGAAGGGGAAGATGTCAGCTGTCTTTCAAATCTCATAAGGCTCTGTACCAAAAGAAAGAAGATACAAATGAGAAGTGACCTCATTCCAGGCACATGCTTGCCTAAGAGGCCTTGAGCTCACAAATGGGGGAGAGATACAGGGAGATGTACATCCCAAGGAGTTGACTCCTCTGGATCTTATATAGCCATTCTTATACTTCAAAGCCAACAGGAAGAAACTTGGTATCAAAAGAGAGAGGTATCATTCCTTTAGTAAATCCATGGAGTTCCAACTCAGCCGTCAACTAAAAAACTTTTTGTCACCACATACTATGAATCTTTTAGACATCATGGCCTGCTAGAAACAGACGATATCTTGCTCGCTCTGAAATGGGCAGTGGACAGCAGGGAAGGAAGGGCCCTCCTCTCTTCCATCATGCACATCCCGTAGCAAACCCACCCCAAACTTCCACAGCTTTCCTGGAATAACAACTAAGCAAGCTCCAGGGGGGTTGGAGGAGTGGGGAAAGGGCCCTATGCTACTGTAATTATTATCTACATTTTGTATCTCTCTTAGTTCTCTGTATACAGCAGGTGTTTAACAGGGTTGTTGAACTGGCTTCATTGTCTTTTTGTTTTTTTCCAGATAAGAATGGTTTAGCTAATCTCAGCTGGGAAGGAACCAATCCTGGCCTATAAGCAAAAACAGTGACTAAGGAAGTACAAATGTACATCATGGATGAGGACCCTGGCAACTCTGCTGGGAAATTTTAGTGACTCCACTCCCAGCCCCTCAGGAAAAGTGAGAAGAAATCTTCTCTGGGAAAGCCAGCCACAGTACAGGCTCTCATCTCCTCAGAATTTCCTTGATATTTCTTCTGAAGTTTTATGGAAGCTTTCGTGCTTTTACATCATAATCTTTTTACTCACGAACCCTGTGTTGTAATACAGGAAAATTATTCAGCAAAACCAGCCAATAGAGCAACTCTAGTATACGTGTATGTTTACTCTATTACCTCCTATATCTGTATTTTTACTCTCCCCCTCCCCTAAGAAGAGAGAGTTGTGTTTTATCATCTGCCTTCTGGAACCAACAGACCAAACTGCTTGGGATTTTTTTGGTCCAGACTTGTGATTTCATTAGTCTAGGGGGAACTCCTGGTGAGTAAGCTCCTCCTCCTAATCCAGATGGTCAAATCCACTGAAACCTGTGGTCTAGTAAAGTTAACTGTGGATACTGATGGGTTAAGAGACACACAGCTAATTCATCCAGAGGTGGTACCTGAAGCAAGACCATTCTAACTGGGAGGTCAGTTCTCTATCCCCAAATCCAATAAATTGCAGTAGTTTCCTATTACCTCCACAATCAAGACCTTTATAACCTGGCTCCTTCCTGCCTTTCCAGTCTTCTTGCATCTTACTCTGGCTTCCTTACTATTTCTGGAACATATTACTCCATCTCCTGACTCTGGGTGTTTTCATTTGCAGTCCCCCATGTCTGGAACTCTCTCCCTCTTCATTCCTACCTCCTGGCTTATTTCCTTCAAGTTTCAACTCAGATCCCTTTCCTGGTCTTCCTTAATTCTGCCCTCTGAAGTTATGTCCAATTTATCCCACTTATATCTTATCTGTACATAGTTATTTAAGTGTTGTTTCCCCTATTACGCTGTGAGCTCCTTGAGAGGAAGGGCCATTTTGTCTTTCTTTGTATCCCTAGAACTTAGCACAGTGCCTGGCACATAGTAGGTGTTTAGTAAATACTTGTTAACATAATTCTGCTTCTAGTGATTGTGGATTTATTTGTTTATTACAATTATTTAGATTAAAAGTGCTTTACCAAAAAAAAACCAAACCTGCTTTACAAGGGTATCCATGTAGTAAAATAAATGAGACCTTCATCCTTATTCCTTTTTTCTTCCTACATATTTTATGTCAAATATCTATTACTAAATCACAGTCAGCACTTGTACCAATCAACAATCATTTATTAAGCACCTACTATGTGCTAAATATGCTGCCACAATCCGTACTTGAAATTAGCTTATGTTCTAATTAGGGAGACAGGTATTTATAAAAATATAGAGATCATAAATATAAAGTTAATACAAATATATCCAAAGTAGCTAAAAACAAGGTAGTTTGGGATAGAGGACAATCTTTTAAGGATTTGCCGAGTGTTTTACAGATATTGTCTCATTTGATCTTCATAGCACACCATAAGGTAGATACTATTATTATCTCCATTTTATAAATGAGGGAACGGACACAGAAAAAGGTTAAGTGACTTGCCCAGAGTCACACAGGTAGTAAATGCCTAAAGCCATTTGAATTCAGGTCTTCCTGACTCTACGTCCAAGTACTCTCTGCAAAACCTAGCTGCCCAAAGCCCTGGCAGATAGGGAGATCAGGAAAGGCTTTATCATACCCAAGCTGTATATTAAAGGACTTGAGGAGGTCAATGAGGCAGAGTTAAGAAGGGAATATGTTCCAGGCATGGGAGACTGCCAGGGCAAAGACATGGGTATGGGAAATGGAGTATTTTCTGTGAGCAACATAAAGAAGGCCAGTTTGGCTGAATTGCAGGGGGTAGGAATGGGAATGATGTCCAGCAAGGTGGGAAAGGTAGACTGAGGCCAGGTTATGCAGGTCTTTAAAAGCTAAACAGTGGAGTTTATATTTTATACTAGAGTCAATAGGAAGCTTCTGGAGTTGGTTGAATAGGAGAGACAGGTGGTCATATCTGTACTTCAGGAAAATTACTTTGTCAGCAGTTTATAGAATGAACTGGAGTGGTAAGAGACTTGAGGCAGGGAGGCCATTTAGGAGGCTTTTAGAATAGTCTCAGTGAGAGGTAATGAAGGCCTTGACATATTGAGCCAACAAAGGAAACTGAGAAGGAGCAGTCAAACAAGTAGAATGAGGAGAGAAAACCAAGTCATGAAAACCTGGAGGAGGATAGGGTGGCCAACAGGGTCAAATGCAGAAGAGAAGTTGAGAAGGATGAGGACTGAGAAAAGATAATTGAATTGACAATTAAGAAATCATTGGTAACTTTGGCTAGAACTGTTTCAGTTGTGTTAAAAAAAAAAGTGTGGGTGTAGTACAAAGGAATGAAAGAATTTAAATTTTTAAAAATACATAAGTGGCATTTGCATATACATAAATGATGAAACCACTACTGAGAAGCACCATTTTAAAAAAAATATATATAGATAGATTTCTTTAGTTTTTATGTCACCTCTATCCTTGTCACAAAGACTTTTTCTTAAAAAGAGAAAATAACGTGTTTCATCAAAACCTACCAACCTGTCAATTGAGTCTGATAATAGATTGAAATTGCTTTTTAAGAAGAAATGCTTTCAGGGATTTTTTTGCATAGATTTAGCAACCCTCTTTCATCTCCCAATCCAGCTACCTGCTGAAATGGTATGGAATATTCCACTCAGGTCTTCACACAGCCATATTGAAATAATAGTTTTGTTGGTATTATAATTATTGATAATTAACATTGAAGTAGCCCTTTCTGGTTACAAAGTACTTTTACATATGTTTTCTCAAACTAGTCTGTGAAGTAGATGCTGCAGGTATCACTGTGCTCATTTTACAGAAGAGGAGATGGGCTCAGAGCATTTAAAGACTCAGAAGTCAAAGAGGAACCTAGGTCTTTGGACTCTAAATCTAAGGCTCTTTTTTTTTTAAAACTGAATCAGGTTGTGTCTGGGGTTTTTGTTGGTTTCGGGTTTGTTAGTGTGTTTGATCCTATGAGTTAATTTCACAGATAGGTTTTCACAAGGGATATTCCATAATGGACTACATCTGTACCATCATACAATTGATAGAAAGAGATAGAGAAAACAAGATCCTCCTATGCTTAGTATTTCTTTTTTCTTTTTTCTTTTTTTGCAATCATGTAAAACATTTCCATATTAGTCATTTTGTCCAAGAAGACTTGAATAAAAGAAAAAAGAATGAAAGAAAGTGAGAAATAGCATGTTTCAGTCTGTATTCAAACAATATCAATTCTTTTTCTGGACGTAAATAATATGCTTCCTAATTACTCCTTTAGGATTTTCTTGGACCACTGTATCGCTGAGAATAGCTAAGTCATTCACAATTCTTCATTGAAAAATATTGCTGTTACTGTGTATAACGCTCTCCTGGTTCTGTTCACTTCACTTTGTATTATTTTATTTAAGTCTTTCCAGGTTTGTCTGAAATCGTCCTGCTTGTCATTTCTTATGGCACAACAACACTCCATTACAATCACATACCATAGCTTGTTTAGCCATTCCCCAGTTGATGGGCATCCCTTCAATGTCCAATTCTTAGTCACCACAAAGAGTTGCTATATTTTTGTACAGAGCTGCTATAAATACTTTTGTACAAATAAGTCCTTTCCCCACCTTTTTTGGGTGTCTTTGGGATATAGACCTAGCAGTTGTATTGCTGGATCAAAGGGCATATACAATTTTATAGCCCTTTGGGCATAGTTCCAAATGCCTCTCCAGAATGGTTGGATCAGTTCAGAACTCCACTCACAGTGCATTAGTACCCTAGTTTTCCCACATCATCTCCAACATCTATTTTCTGTCATGTCAGCCAATCTGATAGGTGTGGGGCAGTACCTCAGTGTTGTTTTAATTTGCATTTCTCTAATCAATAGTGATTTAGAGAATTTTTTCATATGATTATTGATAGCTTTGATTTCTTTGCCTGAAAACTGTCTGTTCATATCCTTTGACCATTTATCAATTGGGGAATGACTTGTACTTTATAAATTTGACTCAGTTCTCTATATATCTGAGAAATGAGGCCTTTATCAGAGATACTTGTTACAAAAAATTTTCCCCCAATTTTCTGCTTTCCTAATAATTTTTGGTTGCATTGATTTTGTTTGTGCAAAAACTTTTTAATTTTACATAATCAAAATTATTTATTTTATATTTTGTAATGTTCTCAAATTTGGTCACAATTTCTTCCCATATCCATAGATCTGACAGATAAACTATTTCATGCTCTCCTAATTTGTTTATGATATCACCCTCTAAGTATAAATCATGTACACATTTTGACTTTATATTGGTATATGGTGTGAGATGTTGGTCTATACCTAATTTCTGCCATACCGTTTTCCAGTTTTCCCAGCAGTTTTTTTTTGTGTGAAATAATGAATTTTTGGTACAAAAGCTTGGATCTTTGGGTTTATCATATGCTAGACTACTATGGTCATTTACTATAATGTAATTTGTACCTAATCTATTCCACTGATCCATCACTCTATTTCTTAGTCAGTACCAGATTGTTTTGATAATTACAACTTTATAATACAGTTTGAGATCTGGTATGCCTAGACTGCCTTCCTTCACATTTTTTGTCATTGATTCCCTTGATATCCTTGACCTTTTTTTCTTCCAGATGAATTTTGTTATTATTTTTTCTCATTCTATAAAATAATTTTTTCATAGTTTGATATGGCACTGTATAGATTAATTTAGGCAGAATTGTCATTTTACCTATACTGGCTCGACCCACCCATGAGCAATTAATATTTTTTCAGTTGTTTAGATCTAACATTATTTGTGTAGAAAGTGTTTTGTAGTTGTGTTCATAGAGATCCTGGGTTTTTCTTGGCAGGTAGACTCCCAAGTATTTTATATCGTTTACAATTATTTTAAATGGAATTTCTCTTTCTATTTCTTGCTGCTGGACTTTGTTGATAATATATAGGAATGATGATGATTTATGTTGGTTTATTTTGAATCTTGCAACTTTGCTAAAGTTGTTAACAATTTCAAGTAATTTTTTAGTTGGTTCTCTAGGATTCTCTAAGTATAACATCATATCATCTGCAAACAGTGATAAGTTTTGTTTCCTCCTTGCCTATTCTAATTCCTTCAATTTCTTTTTCTTCTCTTGTTGCTATAGCTAATATTTCTAGAATAATACTGAATATTGGAGGTGATCATTGGCATCCTTGTTTCACCCCTGACTGTACTGAGAAAACTTCCAGCTTATCTCCATTACAGATAATGCTTGCTGATGGTTTTAGGTAAATATTACTTATTATTTTTTAGCAAGGCTCCATTGATTCCTATGCTTCCTAGTGTTTTTAATAGGAATGGGTGTTGTATTATGTCAAAGGCTTTTTCTGCATCTATTGAGATAATTATACGATTTCTGTTGGTTTTGTTATTGTTACGGTCAATTATGCTGATAGCTTAACTAATATTGACCTAGCCCTGCATTCCTGGTATAAATCCTACCTGGTTATAGTGTATGATCCTTGTGATAAATTGCTGCAACCTCTTTGCCAGTATTTTATTTAAAATTTTTGCATCAATATCCATGAGAGAAATTCATCTATAATTTTCTTTCTCAGTTTTGGCTCTTCCTGGTTTAGGTATCAGCACCATATTTGTGTCATAAAAGGAATATGATAGGACTCCACCTATTTTTCTAAATAGTTTATATAGTATTGAGATTAATTGTTCTTTAAATGTTTGGTAGAATTTGTTTGTGAATTCATCTGGTTCTGGGGATCTTTTCTTAGGAAGTTCACTGATGGCTTGTTCAATTTCTTTTTCAAAGATTGGGTTATTTGAGTATTTTATTTCTTCTTCTGTTAATCTAGGTAATTTATATTTTTGTAGGTATTCATCCATTTCATTTAAATTGTCAAATTTATTGGCATATGCTTGGGCAACATAGCTCCTAACAATTGTCTTAATTTCCTCTTCATGGGTGAATTCACCAATTTCATTTTTGATAATAGTAATCTGGTTTTTTTCTTTCCTTTTTTAAATCAAATTAACCAATAGTTTATCTATTTTATTGGTTTTTTTTTTATAAAACCAGCTTCTAGCTTTATTTTGTTAGTTCAATGATTTTCTTATTTTCAATTTTATTAATCTTTCCTTTGAGTTTCAAGATTTCCAATTTGGTATTTAATTGGGGGTTTTAATTTATTCTTTTTCTAGTTTTTTTTTTAGCTGCATGCCAAATTCATTGATGTGCTGTTTCTCTACTTTGTTGATGTAAGCAATTAGAGATATAAATTTTCTACTCAGTACCACTTTGGCTGCATCCCATAAATTTTGGTATGTTGTCTCATTTTTGTCATTTTCTTTAATTAAATTATTGATTGTTTATATGACTTGCTCCTTGCCCACTTATTTTTTAGTATTAAATTATTTAATTTCCAATTAATTTTTAATTTATCCTTCAATAGACTATTACTGAATGTATTTTTTTTTTGGTGAGGCAATAGAGGTTAAATGACTTTCCCAGGGTCACACAGCTAGTAAGTGTCACATGTCTGAGGCCAGATTTGAACTTAGGTCCTCCAGTCTCCAAGGCTGGTGCTCTATCCACTTCACTGCCTCACTGCCCCGTTGAATATAATTTTTATTGCGTTATGACCCAGAAAGGATGTTTACTATTTCTGCTTTTCTGCATTTGGTTATGAGGTTTTTATGACCTAATACCTGGTCATTTTTTGTGCAAGTGCCATATACTATTGAGAAAAAAGGTATATTCCTTTCTCTTCCCATTCAATTTTCTCCAGAGAACTATCATACATAACTTTTCCAGAATTTTATTCACCTCCTTAACATCTTTCTTGTTTATTTTTTGTTAGATTTATCTAGTTCTGAGAGGTAAAAATAGAGGTTCCCCACTAGTATAATTTTATTATCTATATCTTCCTGTAACTCACGAAACTTCTTCAAAAATTTATATGCTATACTATTTGATGCATATATGTTTAGTATTGATATTACTTCATTATCTATGTTACCCTTCAACAAGGTATAGTTTCCTTCCTTATCTCTTTTAATTAGATACATTTTTGCTTTTGCTTTGTCTGAGATCATGATTGCTACCCCTGCTTTTTTTTGCTTTGGTTGAACCATAATAGATTCTGCTCCAGCCCCTTACCTTTATTCTGTGTATGTTTCTGTTTCAAATGTGTCTCTTGTAAACAACATAGTGTAGGATTCTGTTTTTTAATTCATTCTGCTATCTGCCTCTGTTTAATGGCATGTTCATCCCATCCATATTGATAGTTATGATAACTGTGTATTTCCCTCCATGCTATTTTCCCCTTGTTTGGCCCCCTCTCTCTCTTGCCCCTATCCTTTCCTTCCTCACAAGTGTTTACTTCTGATGACCGCCTCCCCCAGTCTGCCCTCCCATTTATTCCCCTCCCTTCTATTAACCCCATCTCTTTTCACTTCCTTATAGGGTAAGATAGAGTTCTATATCCGAGTGTGTATTTTATTCTCTCTTTGAGCCAGTTTTGATGAGAGCAAGATTTAAGCTTTGCCTGATACCACCCCTGCCCCCATCTTCCTTTCCATTATAATAGCTCTTTCATGCCTCTTTTATGTGGAATAATTTACTCCATTCAATCTCCCCCTCCTTCTTTTTCCAGTGCAATCTCCTTTTTCATCCCTTTATTTTGTTTTTTATGGTATCATCCCATCAAAGTCACCTTATATCCACACCCTACACCCTCTGTCTATGTATACTCCTTCTGATTGCCCTTCCAGTAATAAATTTCTTAAGACTTACAAATATTATCTTGCCATATAGAAATATAAAGTTTAACCTTACTGAATTTCTTATGTTTTCTCTTTCTTGTTTCTTTTTTACCTTTTTATGTTTCCCTTGAGTCTTGTATCTGGAGGTCAAATTTTTTATTCAGCTCTGATCTTTTAATTAGCTTGAAAGCCCTCTATTTTGTTAAATATCCATTTCCCCCCTGAAAGATTATAATCAGTTTTGCTGGGTAGGTGATTCTTGGTTGTAATCCTAACTTTTTGGCTTTCTGGTATACCATATTCCAAACCCTATACAGTTCTTTAAATTGGAAGCTGCCAAATCCTGTGTAATCCTCATGGTAGCTCTGTTATATTTGAGTTGTTTCTTTTTGGCTGTTTACAATTCTTTCTCTTTGATCTATGAGCTCTGGAATTTGGCTATGATGTTCCTGGGAGTTTTCATTTTGGCATCTCTTTTAGGTAGTGATTGGTGAATTCTTTCAATTTCTATTTTGCCCATTTCTTGAAAGACATTGTCCAGGCTTTTTTTTTTTTAACATAGCTTTCAGATAGTCCAATAATTCTTAAATTATCTCTTTTGATCTATTTTCTAGGCCAGTTGTTTTTTCAATGAGAAATTCCACATTTTCTCCTTTTTTTTTTACCATTTTGATTTTGTTTTATCACATCTTGATGTCTCATGGAGTTATTAGCTTCTACTGTTCGGCAAAGGGATTATGACCTGGCTTGTGCTGGGGGTGGGGTTTCTGGAATGGGGTCTTACTTCAGACACTACTGGCTAGCTTAGGGAGTTGCTGGTTTGCAGGAGGGTGGGTCCTCATAGGTGGATTGCTGCAGGGCTTGGAACCCTACCAAAGGCCCCCTGCTGTGAGGCTGGCTGCTGCTCTCAGATCTCATTCTCCTTCCACCCTACTGAGACAGACTTTTCCTCCTGTGCTGGTAAGCTGCTTCTCTGCTCCTAGATTAATTCTGAGGTGGTTTTCTAGTTGTTTGGAGGGGAATTTGGGAGGACTTCAGAGGATCCTTTCCTCACTTTGCCATCTTGGCACTAGAAGTCCTAGTATTTCTTAATTATGAAAAAGCATTTGATTTAGCAGAGCAAAATGCCACCTTACAGACTTTCTTCCAATAATGTATGTCTCATTCATATATTGTTCGAGATTTCTTAAAATTGTTAAAACAGAGATAAACTTACTCACCAATTCTCTCATCGCAAGCATCAGGCAAAGCATCAGACAGGTGCTTGCAAAAGACATTAGCTACTGCCATGGTACAAGCCCAGGACAAAGTCCAAGTTGAGGAGAGATTTTCTGGGGTTAATGAGGCCCTCCAGATGCTCCTGTTTTGGGGTGACATAATTCCAATTACACTAAGGCCTGAAACGTTGCAAAGTCTCTTGGAAATGATCTAGCAGGCACTCAAAAGAGTTTAGCCTGCCCATTCACACAGGAAAGACCAAGTGGATGAGGAATGTCAATTGCCCAGTCTATGACATGCAATTAGATGGACATGGATAATGAGTTGGGCCTAGAATTGGAGAAGATTGGGCTGGACTGCCTTTAGTAAACTGCAAAGCTCTTCAAATGACTCTGAACTCCCAGAAGCCAAGGCCTATCTGTTTGGTCTCAATATTCTACCAGTATTGTGGTATGACTCTGAGACAGGGAACATAATAGCTTCCAAAGAATTGAAAACAAATATCACACAGAGCAACGGAGAGGTGAATGAGGGTGGGGGCAGAATAAGGGGGGGAAAGCAAGTTAGAATAGGAGTAAAAGATGTCATTATGGAAATGTATGATTAAAAAACATGGGCTGGTCACAGTAAAGGATGACACATTGATAGACATCCCAAGCTTTCCACTGGTATCATTATGATTTCAAGGAAAAGGAAGGATGACCTTCGGCACATTGCATGGACAATCTAGGGCAGACTGATGGAAGGATGAAAGCAAAAGTGGCACAGATGGTCAGAAAGGGGATGGATTGTGATCTATATTCATGGAGGAAAAACCCAAATCACTAAGATCACAGGTATATTTGAGTATTTGAGAAGAAGGGTAATATCACTGCAAAATTGGGAATACCAGCATACAGAAAATAAAACAGAGACAGAGAAAGTGGGGAGACAGGAGAAAACAGAGTAAGGTTAAAGCATCTTCCATTCCTCCTTCCACAGGCCATAGCACGCTACAATGACTAAATGGACAAATATCTTCATTACTAAAAAGATCCAACATCATGACTCAAAGGGTCATATTTAGATGATCGTATTCTCAATTATATGATTAATTATATTATTAATATATATTATTGTATTATCAATCTCCCTTGGCTCTTACGACCTATTTGTTTTTTTCTAGAACCTAAGGTTTTCATTTTATTCTGTGAGTTTTAACAAGATTCCCTCCCAAAGGCAGCAGATTGAAGCGCTATCTGTACAGGTCATAGAATATTTTTGAGTATTGAAAGGAAGGGACATCAGTGATTATCTACTCCTACTCATACACAAAAGAAATCCCCACTTTAGCATAATGTGCTGGAGTCAGTTAGAATGGCTAGAAGGGGCTGATTTCAGTGTGAGCATTGATACTTTGGAAATTAGCAAACTACAAATCAGGGATTCCTTTATTGAGTCGTTTATCACCTAGACTTGTGAGCATGATGATGTAGAAAACGTTAGTAATGCAGAGTAAACATAAAAGTGTATCTTGAGTCCATCTCTACCCCTCCTCCCCCACCCCACCCAGTGATCTAATGGTTAAACATTTACAAGCACATCACTGACATAACTGACAATGATGGTCCTGCCTCTGCCTGATGACCTCTAAGATTGGGGAGCCCACCCACCTTTTGAGGCAGCCCACTCCACTTCTGAATGTCTCTAAGAGTTGAGAAGTTTTCCCTCACATCAAACCTAAACCTGCTTCTTTGCAACTCCCACCCATTGAGCCTGGTTCTCTCCTCTGGGTCCAAACAAAACAACTCTAATCCCTCCCCCATCTGGCAGCCTTTCAAATGCTTGAGACAGCTATCATGTCACCACACCCTCACCCTGTATCTTTTTCTCCAGGTCAAATATGCCCAGGTCTCTTAATCAATGTCATGGACTCAAAGCTTTTGACCATCTTAAAGATCCTCCTCTGAACATTCTCCAGCTTACCAAAGGCCCTCCTAAACTATGGTGCCAGAACTGAACACAATACTCCAGGGGAGGTACAGTGGAATATCACGTTCTTATTCTTGGAAGCTATTTTTTTCTTACAGTCCAAGATTAAATTAAGTTGTCTTTTTTTTTAGCTGGTAACTCATATTGGTCACTAAAATCACCAGATCTTTTTCAGAGCAACTGATATCTGTCTATGCCTCCCCCATCTTATATTAAGTTGATCTCTTGTACCCAAGTGTAAGACTTTTCCTGGTAAATTCCACCTTATTAGAGGCTCTAGCCTGTAAAGATCTTTTTGGATCCTGACTACCATTCAGTGCATATTAGCTAATCCTTCTAGCACTGTCATCTGCAAATCTGATGAACATACAATATATGCCTTTGTTCATGTCCTGGATACAACTGTTAAATGACAGAGAGCCACCAAGCCCAGATCCCTAGGGTACTTCACTGGAGACCTTCTATGTTTACATTAATACATTAGTCACTCTTTGAGTCTAGCCATCCAACTAGTACTGAATGTGCTATCCAAGTAACAGAGTCTACATTTTTTACTTATCTGAATTTCAGTCTTCCTCCTTCCTGGTAAGAAAAACTTGTCTCTGCCCAGTGCTTCAGGAGCAGTTTCAGGAGCCAGGAACCTGCCTTTTTATCTTATTTATCTTCTAGAGTCCTTCCTTTGGCGTCCAATGGAGCCGATGTCACCTATCAACAGTTTATTAAGTGCCTACCGTATGTATCAGGCCCTTTGCTAAAGACTGGGAATACAAAGAAAAGCAAAAAATACTTACTCAGATACGCAGTAACAGCAATGTAATAATGATGATCAACTGTGAAAGACTCAGCTACTCTGATCAATACAAAGATCAGACAATTCCACGGATAACATGGAAATATGTTCTTCATGATTTCACACATACAATTGATATCATATTGCTTGCCTTCTCAGTGGGTGGGGGAGTGGTGGGCGAGGGGGAAAGAATCTGGAACTCCAAATTTTTAAAAAATATAATGCAAGAAATAATGAAAACGTACCACTATTCTCGTAGTCCGATTCCATTCAATTAAAGCAATGTTTATTAAGTTTACCTGAGCACTTGGGATACAAAGATAAAACAAGCCACAGTTCCACCCCCCATCTCCAAACATATTTCCATGTTAACCATGTGGGGGGAAAAAAGGGAAGAATAATAAGGAAAGTGGAAAAAGTATACTTCAATTTGCACTCAAAGTTCATCAGTTCTTTCACTGGAGATGGATAGCATTTTTCATCATGAGTCCTTTGGAATTGTCTTGTATCATGGTATTGAGCAGAGTAGCTAAGTCTTTCACAGTTGATCATCATTACAATATCGCCGCTACGATGATTTGAGCAAGGGGACTGAGCTTACTCTGCATGGGAGATAAAAATCATACACAAATAATAAGGTATTGTGATAGATCTGTGGTGTGGACATTGGTGGCTTGCACATGGTAACCCATCCCTGCTCATTCCTCCTAGGCAGCTTTTCGTGTCTGTGACCTTCTAAGAAGATTCCACAAGGGTTCCCCCAACATATTGGGACCTTCCTTTAATTGTCTTGACATTTAAGGGACACTTATTAGAGTGCATGGATTGGTTCATGTTATTCTTTGCACTGGCTATAATAAATTATCACAATGGTTAAGGGCATGGAAGATGTCCAAAGAGAGACGAAGAAGAGACTGGAGATTACTTATAGCTAGAAGAGATAGATAGACAGGATAGACTGTTGGGGAAACAGGCTTTAAGGAAAGGAAGGGTTTCAATTGGCAGAGATTTGGGTGAAGATCATCTCCAACATGGGGAGCAGTGTGCATAGAAGTCATTGAGGTGGAAAAGATAATCCCTTCAAAGTTTCTGAGTTATGTAAGGACAAAGCCATTAATAATCCCACCATGGGACACAGAACATATGTGCCCAAAGAGCAGCAGCTCTACTACAAAAAATGCAAAGCAGATAAGGCAACTCCCTCTGTCCCTCACCACCCCTCTCCCAATCTCCAAACCTTATCATACCCAATTGTTGGGAGTTTTCAGTCCCACATTTCAGGACCTGAGGAAGCTTCCCCCAAGACTGAATTGTCCTGCACAGCAGGCTGGTCCCCACCCCTTCCCCCTCCCACAGGCTGTTTAGCCTACCTCTCTTACCCCCACCCCCTCTTTTCTCTCCTGTGAAAAAACCATGGACTTAAGCAAGGCAGTTGCTGTGGCAACCAAACCTGTTATTCTGTTTCAGTAACTCTGGCCTGGGGAAAGATGGGGTAGTGCAGAGGGGAGAGAGAGAGAGAGAGAGAGAGAGAGAGAGAGAGAGAGAGAGAGAGAGAGAGAGAGAGAGAGAGAGAGAGAGAGAGAGAGAGAGAGTGAGAGTGAGAGAGAGAGAGAGAGAGAGAGAGAGAGAGAGAGAGAGAGAGAGAGAGAGAGAGAGAGAGAGAGGGCCAGGTGGCAACTGTTGCCTGTGCTGATGGAAGCCCATTTGGGGGCAGAGAGGGAGGGGGTCTGCTGCATCCTCATTGCCTTTTCCCCTAACTCCAGCTGGGGGAGACGGAGCCCATGGGAGCTCCCTGAGAGCCAAGCATTCAGGGAGAGCCGAGATGCCCAGACCCTCCTCTTGGTCACAGGCCTTTGCAAGGACAATAGTGTTAACTCTGGGGAAAATTCCATCGCACAGGGTTCAAGTCTCCAAGGAGCTGCTGAGGCCCCCTGTTCAGCCTGGAGGGGTCTCTGAGGAACCACTGCAGCTGCCTGGCCTCTTCCCCCCAATCCTCCACCACCCCCCCTTCCCCAGCCCACTTTGTGTGTGTTTCATTTTTAACCCCTGAGCTGCCAAGTGTTTCATTTTGTTACATTTTATTAGTAGTCAGCCCCTAGAAATGTAAAGAATACAAAAACAAGGACCCATCCTCTTTTGAGGATGGACCGAGGACAACTGCTGTCCACCTAATTCAACTCCTATTTAGAAGTGAACCCCTTTTGTCCACTTCGCACACGCCTCGGCCCCCAGCCCCATGTGCTTTTCAAGAGTGACTCACTCAGGAGAGGGTTAACATTCTCTGGGGCTGGAATGGAAGCCAAGACACTTGATGAAATGCAAGAACTTTTTAAAAGCTGCTCAGTCTGAGACCTGCAGTGCAAAGGCAGAGAGACACTAATAACCAGAGGAGAGCAATTTCCTTGTGCTAAGGAGATAATCAGTGAATGGGGAGAAAGGCGGGAGCCCCCAGAGCCGTGCCTCCCTCTCATTTTTCCCACTGCCAATTTCCAAATGAATTTCTGCTTTCCTGTCTCTGCCATGTATCTTAGAATAGGTTGAGCACAGAGGGAACTTTGGGTTAAAAGTGATCATTAGAAAGAGCAAAGAAGAAAAAATCAATAGGCAACTTTAAATATAATACTTTAACCGGATGAGATAGAATGGCAGAGTAGGGGTGATCTTGGAGTCAGGGAAACCTTTGTTCAAATTCCGCCTCTGACACCTGTTAGCTGTGAGAGGATGGGCAAGTCCCTTAAAGCTTATTGCCCTGGGGCAACTCTCTAAAGAAGAAAATAAGTTACAAATGAGCTGCCAATCTGTATGTGTAGGAGGGCGTTTCCATACCAGGAGATAAAATCACAGATCCCTTTCTTTCTTTTCTTTTCTTTTTTCTTTCCTTTATTTGTGTTTTTTTTTAATCAGGTTTTAATAACAATAATAGGAAAAGTATTTTAAAGATAAATATTTGCAGTATATATACATACATATATAACCATATGTGAATAACGAATCCCTTGAAGTGGTCTTATATATTTGAATTCACACTATTCCAGTTATAATTATGCAAAATATGGTCACTGATTCCAGTCCAATGGAAATGTGCAGTGTGAATTCAAATAATGTGACCACTTCATAAGATATCCTATTCTCACGAATTGGGACCTGACTGTACATTTGAAAACTTTTATTGGCTGGTATTTTTGTTTCGTGATGGTAGATTAAATATAAATTGAATTTAGGGTTCATTTGGACTTTCAGTTGTGCATGAGTCTTTCTTGGTGACCCTTTTTAGAGTATTTTCTTGGCAAAGATTCTGGGGTGGTTTGCCATTTCCTTCTCAAGCTCATTTTACAGATGAGGAAATTGAGGCAAACAGGGTTAAATGATTTGCCCAGGGTCACACAGCCAGTAAGTGTCTGGGACTGGATTTGAACTCAAGTCTTCCTGACTCAAGGATTGGTGCTTTAGCCACTGCATCACTTTTAGTAATATCCTGAACAGTGGATAGAGCACTGGCCCTGCATTCAGGAGGACCTGAGTTCAAATGCAGCCTCAGACACATGATACTTACTATTTATTTATTTACTTATTTTATTTTTAGGCAATTGGGGTTAAGGGACTTGCCCAGGGTCACACAGCTAGTAAGTATCAAGTGTTTGGTCTGAGGCCAGATTTGAACTCAGGTCCTCCTGACTTCAGGGCCGGTGCTCTATCCACTGTGCCACCTAGCTGCCCCTTATTTCATTTATTTATTTATTTTTCACATGACACTTACTAGCTGTGTGACCTTGGGCGAGTCATTTAACCCCATTGCCTAGCCAAAAAAAAAAGGCAAACAAACTGTAGAGTAATATCCCAAACAAAGGCAAAATTAATTAACTCTTCAAATGTTATCTGGAGCAAATAAAGCAGCAGATAGACAACATAAGATATGTAGCAGTTAACCTGAAACTGGTAACTAACTTTATTCTATCAAATGTGTGGTTTTCCAGTTGTATAAAACTATTCTATTACTGAGTAACTAAAGAAGAAACTAAACTGTAAGGTTTGAGATTTTCAAATCAAATGAACAGTAATGATAATAGTTAGCATTTATATAGCACTTTAAGGTTTGTAAAACACTTTATATACTCTCTAATTTGACCCTCACAGCAACCCTTTGAGGTAGCTACTTATTACTATCCCCATTTTACAGCTGAGGAAGCTGAGGTAAACAGAAGTTAAGTGACTTGCTCAGGGTCACACAACTAGTAAGCATCTAAGGCAAGATTTGAACTCAGGCATTCCTGACTCCAGGCCCAGCACTCTATCCACTATGCCAGCTAGCAAAGATAAATAGGCACTCCTATTGCCTTAAATAAATGTTTGTTAAATTGAGGTTCATTTCCCCCCAAACATATTATATCATCAATAACACTGGTGAAAATTGTTCCGGAGGAAAAGGCTGTGAGATTTTGGTTTTAAGAGGGTTTTTTTTTTACCTTATTAAGTTGGAGTGGTAAAAATTGATGCAAATGTTCAGCACCAAGGAGTCTTCTAAAGGCTAGTGCCCTCCTAAGTATTTCACATACCCAGCTGTGGCTTACTTCCTTGTTAATGTTACCTCTCAGACCCAAGCCTGTGTTCTAAAGTGTCTTCTCAACGACTTACTGATAGGCCTATCCCTGGTTCATCGTGACAAGATCACAGCCCAGTGAAGCTCTCTGTGTGGCACGTGGCAATAAGTAACTAAGGAGCACCTCCTCTACGCCTTCTAGACTTTCTGCATTTTAGGATCGTACTCATGATCTGCTGAAAATAGAAATGCTAGCAGAGAGGGATGACACCTATCTTTACTAACTGAGATCAATAAATCTGGGAACCTAGTATCATCATGCCCAATCATAAACACTCATTTTCACACAAATATGCCACCCCCGTGTTTTCTCTTACGAATACAATCTTCCATAGACCAAAGAATATTTGGTCACCCTGATCCCAAAGCCCCTAGTCACTTCACCAGCTGCCAGACCAGAATCCTCAAC